GAGCAGGGAGCCCGATGCGGGACTCGATCCCGGGACTCCAGGATCATGACCTGAGCCGAAGGCAGTCGCTTAACCAACTGAGCCACCCAGGCGCCCCCCTCGTAATTCTTGATATGGATTTATGCATTTAAAAAATTCCTTTACTAAAGTTTTATTGGAATCTTGGAAGGAAGACAAGATATGTATGTTGACCATTTTCAAATGCAAGCCTACATATAGCACTTCATATGTAAATTCCCATTGCACGTATGTATCATTTTATCCTGGTATTCCAATTACTTACATACCCATCTTACCTCTCCCTAAGGACTAACTTCTGATAAAATGCTACTAAGATTCTTAAAGGTACGAAATGTACCTGATTCATCTTTGAGTCTCCCACAGTGACTATGAGTGCCTTACACATTACAGGTAAGCATTCATTCATGCAACATTTGAGAATGTACTAAGTGCAAGACATTAATTAGCGGTTGGAGAGAACAAAACAGAAAAAGAGATGGTTGCCATTCAGTGAACTTATAATGTACTAGGTGGTTAAGACAACAAATGTGAGTTCTTTGGGGGAAAGGGGATTGGGAACTGAAGGATTAAGAAACAAAAGATCCATGTGTACTTACAAAGAAAACGAGGGGCATATATAGTAAGTACTATAAATTTGATATAAGCAAAATGTAATTAGATCAAGAGAGGAAACACAATCTAGATGTTTAATCAGCTCTTACATTCATATAACCACTAACCACTATGGTTAGAACAGATACTATGGAGAATATCTATTTAGTCAAGTTGTTTTAAGGGTCCACAGCTTGCACTCTTGACCAAAACTGGGCCAATGAATTCCATCCCAGAACTTAGGGTACTTTCTGAAAGTGGGGTCCAGAAAAGTCAAATCAGAGTCTCTCCAAATAAATGAAGCTATAAGATATATCTCTAGAGCTTGTCCTTCTTTAAAAACCAAGTTTTCTGTTAAATGGAAAAAAATAGGTCTAAAATGAGAGAGAAGAATAAAGCTAATATATAGGGGAAAAAAAAAACAAAGATGAAGATACCTAAATATTGTTCAAGTTTCTAGTTTTAATTTTCAAAAGTTGAAATCTCATCAAGTTTAAGAGTCTAGGTTTACCCAGGCAACAGATCAGCAAAAAGAACAAAATCTTTTAAATCATCCTTTCCTAGATAGTGTCAATATAAGAATGCTTGCTCATCCTTTCCTAAATAGTGTCAATCTTATTGACCTGTCACAGGTCTGTAAAAAGCAAGCAATTAACAATGATGATAAGAAGAGAGGAATAGTCGCAGTAGTATAGTAGTTTTGGGGTTGTTTTTTCTTTTTAGATTTTATTTATTTGTCAGAATGAGAAAGAGAGAGAGAGAGTGTGCATAAGCAGGGGGTGTGGCAGGCAGAGGGAGAAGCAGGCTCCCTGCTGAGCAGGGAGCCTGATGTGGAACTTGATCCTAGGACCCCGGGATCATGACCTGAGCTGAAGGTAGATGCTTAACTGAGTCACTGAGGCATCCCTGCAGTATAGTAGTATTAACAATAATAGTTGTACTAGTAAAGGCCCCTACCGTTTATTGTGTGCTAGATGCTATAAATATATCATTGTTATCCTTACAGAATGCCTAACAAGGAAGCTCTTACTGCCTCTTTTTGTAGGTTTTATGATAAAAGGCTCAAAAAGGGGGCACCTGGACGGCTCAGTCAGTTAAGTGTCCTACTCTTGATTTCAGTTCAGGTTATGAACTCAGGGCAAATGTGGTCAAGACTATGACATGATCAAAAGAAAATCCCCAGGTAAATCAAAATTAAGATAATTTACATGTGGATAGTTGTACATATTAATAAAACTTTGTCTCAAACAATTTACTTACTTTCGAAGTTCAGCATTCTGCTTTTCCAAGCTCATTTTCATTTCCATGAGATGATTATTCTCTTGTTTTAACTGCTTTTCTGACATTTTTAGTGTGTTAACTTGCTGTGTTTGCATCTTCAAGTCATTTTGTGTAAGGCAGCGCTTCTGAGTTTCCTGCTCTATTTTTAATGTCAAATTTCTAACCTAAAAAATAAATTGTCTACTTGGTAAAATGTAAGTAATGATTTGATCTTTCTTATCAATGAAGCTTGCAGCAAATATGATCATGCAAAACAGACTTTGCCCTTAGGCAGTTAATTCATTTCATGAGAAAATATTTTTATGTATTTCTGATGTCCTATTTTTTAAATAAAATATGGTCTTTACGGTAAAAATAACTTAAAAATTTTTAAATTATGTGTCATTATTTAGCATATCAGCCAAATTCAGTAAAATTAAAGGCTGCAGAATATTATTTTATAAGAAAAAAATTTAAATTATGAAACTATCATTACACATCATTACAGATAAACCTAAGTTGATTATGAATTTATTACATAGTTTATTATTACTTATTAGTAAACTTCATACTCACATCCTCATTTAGCACATCTTTCTGTTTAAGGAGTTCATTGATTCTCTGCTGTGACTGTTTGAGGTCACAGTCAAATATAGAGCATCTCTTCTCAGCTTCCAGCAATAGGTTCTCCACTTTCTGCTTTAACGTCCTTTCCTCTGAGAGCTTTTTCTCCATTTCTATTGCCACAAAAATGGACACAATCATGTTCACAAACAAAATATGCATATCAAAAATGCATGACACAGTGCTATAAAAATTATAGTAAATGATGATAGCTTAAAAACATTTTTTAAATTTCCAATTTAATATTTTCATCACCCTTCTTAATGAGTTTGAAATGTCAACAGTTTCATGCTTGGAATTCAGGCATTTATTTCGTTTGCAGTGTGGAAAAACCTACCACACTGCAATATTACATCTATTCCAATGGAAGTAAAATAATTCTGCCTTCACTGATGGTTCTAAAAGAGTCTTAATCTTTTTAATAAATATTTATTTTATTTTCCTGCTACTCTGTGCCTCTCGGTGTTCCTCTTCTTACCCTAAACATTCCAGGTAGATTTTTTATGTCTATGGCTCTTTCCATATTAGCATATTACTATGCAGAGGATGACAATTATATTTTGGGGAAATGATAAAGGACAAGACTCTGGGACCAAACTTCCTGAGGTTAAACCCTAACTCTAACATGTCTTAAGTATTTGCCTGGGCAAGTTAATTAACCTCTCTGAGGTTCAATTTCCTCATCTCTAGAATGGTGATTAACAGTACCTATCCTCCCTCACAGGGATGTTATGAAAAGATTCTGAGTTAATATTTGTGTGGCACTTAAATGCTGCCTGGCATATAACAAGCATTTGATAAGTGCTCACTATTCAAGGAGAATGTTTAATGACCTGATGAGAATGTTCACAGTATTATTTTAAAAGAAAAAATGCAAAACAGTATATAAAATATTTCAGAAAAAATACAAAATATCCTCCTGATTAGTAAGGCTGTGATTAATCTTTATTTCTTTATACTTTCCTGTATTTTCTAAATGATTTGTAGTAAACTTTTAATTTGTTTTATTAATCAGAAAAGGCTTTTAAAAGCTTTTTAATTTTTTTTTAAGATTTTATTTATTTATTTGAGAGAGAGTGAGAACATGAGCAGGGGGAGGGGCAGAGGAAGAAGTAGACTCCCTGCTAAGCAGGGAGCCGGACACAGGGCTTGATCCCACGACCCCAGGATCATGAGCGGGGCTGAAGGCAGACACAACCGACTGAGCCACCCAGGCGCCCTTAAAAGCCTTTTTAAATCCTGAAGTGAAGAGCAGGCAAAGTCTATCTCTAAGCAAGTGATTTCATATTAAATGCCAGTTATTACCATTAAAGAATTACCTTTTGATGTATTAGAAAATCTGTTCAAATTCAATTGGGCTCCTCTGCTCTTTCATACCTAATGCTTGATATCTGATTATCATTTATTATAGTTACATAAACCTATGAATTTTTAATTTTTAATGAACTGTCTTCAAAAGTGTGAAAAAAATGAAACTATTCTTCACATTCTACTAGTAACAGCTAATATTTCTAAGTACTTTCTCCCATCGTTGCACTTGGTTTTCACAACAACCTAATACTCTAATTGTCTCTTTAGAGGAAACAATGAACGAAAGGGGAAAAAAAGGGTAACTATGGACAAGGTCACATAACTAGTAATTCATTAGTAAGCCATATTCTTAATCAAAGGAAGCCATGACATGCAGTAGAAAGAACAAAGGCTTTTAGACCCGGACATGGACAGATGTACTCATTTAAAAAAATCACCCTAATGTGGGCACAGAGAATAGAAAGGGGTACAAGTGAACTTACTGAGGTGATGAAAACACAGATTCCACAACTTGTTTTGAATGGTGGTTACATGTGTGTATTACAATGTGAAAAGTGCCTGCATTTTATTGCACCTAAATTATACCTCAAAAGAAATTCAACTCTATCTTCTAAGTCACTGACAGGGAAACACGACCCAATAACTTCCTCTCTTGTAATTAGATTTTTCTAACTAAAGCACTCATTTAATCTCTTAACATCCTTAATTAGTGCCTTAAACTAAACTGATTTTAACCAAAAAATCTCCAATTTTAATTACATTCAATAATTGAAAAGCTATTTTTTTGCTAAGTTATTCATAAATGTTATGCTTCAGTATGAAATAAAAGTTCTGCTTAAGAGTTCTATGAATTTTTCACAAGAGTATTTTATTAATTTCCTTTGGAACTTCAAATCCATCATAATTATAAGCAGTCAGTTAGGAAAACAAGAAATTATCCTAAGACAATTCCAAGATACATGCTGGTTTGTGGAAAAGTTAACTCTGTTATCTTACCCTATACTCCTTAGTAGTGGATGACTTTGACCAAATCTAGCTAGGATCTTCATCATGCCAGAGTTCAAAATATTCAATGAGCTTATATTCTAGTTAGGTCAGCCACTATTTTTAAAACATTTATCTTACATAAACTGGCAACAATTTTATTATACAAACTGACTGGTGAAATGTCAAACCAAATATTACAAAAAGAGGAAATCCCTCCAAATCTGAATATATCTAGAACTTCATGCTCTGTATGCCTGTTACTATTGATACCACTGAAATACTAATTTCTCTCTGATCCTTAAATTTGGTTGAGTAATTTTGTGTTTGGGCCTTACTATCTTAGAAATGATTGTTGCCATAAAGGAAAAAAGTGATATGTATATAAAGCTTCCCTAATGTTTTTTTCTCTCCAGTTCCCAATATTTGACAATAAAATGTAAAAAATTATTTTTCAAAATCAAAGAGTTGACTACAGAATCAATCCTTAGTATAATGCTGTGGGAAAACTCTCTTAGAAAAAAAGCATACCTTTCATGGCTTCTGATTTTGCTTCTTCAATGGATTCATAAATCTTATTTTTATCTGCCAGCCGTGCTTTTGTAGCCTTATGCTCAGCTTCTTCTTGTTCTAAGCTCTGCTGTATAACTTTTAGTTGGTATGTCATATCTATTTCCATGTTGTTCTTTTCCTATTAAGGATTTAAAATAGCAACTATCAACAAAAAAGACTGGCTCACAATTTCAAAAACTTATAAAGTTGTTTTTTACAGGATAAGAATGTTCAATACCTTTCCTTCTGTCTTCACTTGAACTTCTTATAAAAGTGATCCATGGAATCCACCTCCCATGGCACCCATATCCCATCCCTCCACTCTACTGTTTGGAGATCTGCACTGAGGGCCTTTGATCTCAATAGAGTAACCACTGATATTCTCAACATCAGATTCAACAAACAATTTTCAGTCTTTATCTCATTTAGATTCACTGTTGCCCTTGAAACTATTTCCTTGACATACCTGACACCAAACTCACTTAGCTCCCCGCTTTCTGTTCTCATCTTTTCTGTCACTTACGAAGTTTTCCCCCAGCTGTTCCTTGAATGTTGGTGTTCTCTGGAGGTAGTGTTCTTCAGCCACAAAGCTTCTCCCCCTTCCTGTATCATTATTTCTCACTTTTAAAACATATCTATTATTTCCCTTTGCTGTATCTAAAGATAAATTTTCAGGATCCTCTACCATTTACCCTCTCATATTCCACATTGGGGACTTGTTTTAAGTTGGGAATCTAACAATAGATGTCAATTCCCTATATATTCTCAAAAAGATTTTCTAATTTTTTGTTCTCTATAGTTTGTACCATAAATGTAGATATTTCTTTTGTTTTTCAAATAAATCTTTAATATTGAAAATGATTTTTTCAATCCACCAACAGAGTAATCTACTCTGCCCTGAAAAACCACTGTTCTAAACAATCTCTTCCCAAATAGGTTTTTTCATTCATAGGGCTTCAGCTACTTCTGTACCAATGACTCTCAAATATTTCTAGCTTCAACGACACAGTTTACTGCTTTGTAAACATCCTAATTTGGCTGACTCACAGGCACCTCAAACTTAGGACTAAAATGGATTTGTCATTGTCTCTTCTAAAAGAGCTGTTTTCCTTTTTTATTTAGCGGTACCATTATATATCTTGTCACAAAGTAGGAACCTAGAACTCATCCTTAATTAAGTACCACACACATGCCTCATCTAATTAATCGCTAAGTGCTGCCAAATATTATTCCTCCAAATATTTCTGATTCATCCTTATTTTCCATCCTTTTAACCACTGTACTAGTTAATTCTCCATTATCTGAATTACTGAAAAAGCCTCTGAGTAGTCTCCCTACTTCTTATCTTGTCCCAGTCAAATTTATTCTCTTCATGGTACACAATGATCTATCTTAAATGTACCTCTAGTAAGAGCATCCACTTTAAAGTCCTTCAGTGGCTAGTCCATTACCTAAAGAAACTAAGTTTAAGAGAGTATTCAAAATCTTACATGATCTAGCTCATGGCCTAGCTCTGTAGCCTCATTCTGGTCACTGAGTTCCTCACACTTAACACTAGGACCATACCGCTGTCTTCAGGCCAATTTTGGTCTGATGTCTATTTCTGTAAAATTTCACTGGAATATAGCCACACCCATTCCTTTATGTACTGCAGCAGACCTGAGATGCAACAGAGACCGTATGGCCTTCAAAGCTTGAAATATTTATCATCTCTCCCTTAAAAGATTAAACTTTGTTGACCCCGGCTCTGTACTCCAGGAATACTGAACAATTTGCATTAAATAAACCAACTATCCCTTTTCTATTTTCCATCCTCTGTACCTTTGCTCATGCTGTCTTCCCCAACTCAGAATGTGCCTTTACCCTGCCAACCAATCCTGCCCTGTCAGACTGGGGCTTTATTCTGTGCATCCAATATACCCTATTCATTCTTCTAGCATTCTATTTACCACGCTGCATTAGAATTATCTGTGTACCTTATTATTACTTTAGAAGCTACTCATTAGATTGTGAGACTTAATCAATTTTTTTTTTGGTAGGTCCCACACCCAACATGGGACTTGAACTCATGATGTTGAGATCAAGAGTCACATGCTCTACCATTTGAGCCAGCCAGGCACCCAACTGTGAGACTGTTAAAGGCAAGCAAGGACTGCATCCTGATATTTCTACCACAGATGACATATTTAAATACTTAAACGAATGACTAAATAAGTGAACAAAAATACATTAACTGCACAGTCTAGAAATTATCCCTGGCTTATAGTATTTTTAAAGAAAAACTTCTAAATGCCAAAGCCATGATAACTTTCTATCATTTTTAAGACATGTTATAAGTCAAAATTTGAGTTTTCCTTGGATCCCTAGGGAGAAACATCCACTGAAAGCATAGTGATTTCTCTTATTTTATTTTTTTTTTTAAGATTTTATTTGAGAGAGAGCAAACGAGCAGAGGGAGAGGAAGAGGGAAAAGCAGACTCCCCCGATGTGGGGCTCGACCCCAGGACCCTTGAGATCATGACCTGAGCCAAAGGCAGCCACTTAAGCAACTGAGCTACCCAGGTGCCCCTGATTTCCCTATTTTAAAGTAAGTTTTCCAATCTGAAATTCTATAGTCATTTTCTTAAAAAATATAAAGCCGAACATGTTTTACCTTTTCCAAATCAGTAAGTCTCTCCTGTAGTTGTCTCTTCTCCATCTCTGCTTTTGCTAATAAGATTTTGCCATTCTTTAAATCTTCTTCTAGGCCAGATATTCTACCTAAAATTGCAAAATTTTAAAAACAATAAGCCCACAAAGTATATACATATTAAATTAAGAGTAAAAAATTTTAGAAGTCACCTCATAATTTGGAGCTATTATTTATGAGCAGTTTTATAAGTGTTGGTAGAGTGCCTTATAGTGAAGTCAACTGGAACCCAAACCACCACCTTGAGAGGTGGTTTGACAACCTAAAATATTTCACACTATTTTAAAGTAAACCTTCTATTCATGAAAGTTTGTATCAATGCATTTCCAACACCCTAACTTCACATAACAGAGTAGTATATTCAGATATGTGCTATTCCAACACAGTATCCATCATCTAAAGTTATTTCCAAAATACAAATCACCAAGATGAATTCAAGTGTAATCGCTACTTTTAATACCTTGTAAGTCATTAATTATCTCGGATCCATGAGTTCGGTCCCTCCTTTCAGATTCTAGAACTGACTGAAGATTGATAAATTCCTTTTCAAGTTTTAACTTAGCAGTCTCCAGCAGGCAATTTTTATCTTGAAGATCTCTATTGTTAGATTCCAGCTGCTGAATCTGTTTTGAACTTTCTGCCTGGGTTTTTCTTAACCGGGCCGCAGTATCAGATTCTGTTCTCAGCAAAGCATTGGTTTCATCTAGCTGTTATTCCATTCAAAATCAAACAACAACAAACACAGGCATATATAATGAAAATACTTCCATTTAGGACCCCCATTACAAACTATTTAAAATAAGAAAAAAACTAAGAATATTTTCCTATTGATTTCCCTTTAAAATCTCCCTTTAAAATCAGAGGCAAAGAAGGCCTTTTTGTAACATTGCCAACTAAAAGTAGTATTAATAAGTTATCATTAAGAAAATTCAATATCCTTACTACAACTGAGATCAACCTACTTGTCTCTGGAGCTGATTCACTTTCTCAGTGGATATTTGAGAGTTCTGATTTCTTTTTTTCAAATCTTCAAGTTGATCCTTTAAACTGTTAACTATGATAAAAAGCATTTCAGTGGCAAGCTTCAACACAACACATACATACATACACACTTAATTTTTTTCTTGGTAAGTATTTAATATTCTACACCACAAACCATCATTTTCCAAATTTCGCTTCTTGTCTGCTTCGTGATCAGCTTTCCGCTGATATTCTGCATTTTTGTGTTGAAGAAGTGCCTTTTCTCTTTCTAATTGTCTTAATGCTGATTCCACATTTTTCCTTAAAGTAATCTGAAATAATGCTTAAAGTTATTACCAAAGGAAAGTATGCATAAAAATCAAAGAAAAGAATATTTCAGTATTTCAAGCAGATAAAAGACACCTTTAAAAACAAGCTATAACTGCTGTTTTGTTAAAACTCACAATAATATTTTCCATCATTTTCAAAATAGCATACCTCTCTTAAATTATCAAGACCACAGTGTTCATTATTCACTACTGAAAGTCAAACTTTCTGAAACATTCCATTACCACTGAACCATCTTCACTTGATATAAACTATGGATCTAAAATGTTATGAACAGAAATTTAAAGTAAGAAACAATGGTTACTTTCTGTTGTTAAGCCAAGTAATTAATACAAAAGCAAATTTTTTTTACTTGCAATATCTACACATACAAAATAAGTCAAATTTGCAAAAACATAACAAAATGAAGTCTATCATCATGGTTTTCCTGTACTTTTAGTTTTGTTCACCAATGCTAGACGGTAGGTCTGACTATAAATCAAGATATGTATTAATACGGTTCTAAGAGAAATCTGCAGGTAAGTCAGGCATCAAAACTTTTAGTGGACAAAAATGTAAATTAAAAGCATGGAGCAACTTTACCTCTTCTTCTAGTTCCTTTGCTACTTTCTCAAGGCGAGTATTAACAGATCTAAAGAATTTCAAAAGAAACAGTAAGTAAAATCTCTAATTCATAATAAAAATAAATAAATTTAAAAATAATCAAATAATTACTTTGTAACTCTTCATTTTTAATAACATGTTTAAACTTAAATTTTAAAATACAACATTTAACTATCCACAAAACATACTTGCACTTTTGCTCTAGTTCCTCTTTGGCTTGTATTTCAGTGCTAAGGTGTTCTTCTAATGTGTATAATTTTTTCTGAATCTGTGAGGAAACAAGAAACTATAATTATAAAGTTTGGTCACACTTAAAATATAAACAGCTTAAAGAAAACAATGACAAGCTGTTTTCTGAGCTGAATATAACCTCATCTATAATGGTACATAAAGTTTCTGTACCTTCTTAATGTGACTTTTACTGACAGGAAAAAAATTCTCCAACTCTTGCTCTCTGTCACACTACAAATGTATGCAAACATGTTCATGTCCACACCACGTAAACATATGAGTCAGAAGCTCTAAACTTGGCAGAATTCTTCTATGACACCAAGTCTCTCGGTCACTATGAATAAAGGATATCCTCTGATATCCTCCACTGTTCTTCCACAGATTATTTATACAAAGATACTGTCACAATGTGTACTTATAAGATGAAAAGGTCTATATCTGAAACAAATACTTGGAATATTTGAACTTGCTCAAAAATGTATTACTGCTCTAAAAAATAAGAATTTAAGCTCTTCTTTATATCTTCCTACACAATGCCAAGAACAGTACTATAAAGAGTTATAATCAATAACTCTCCAATGAATGATAGCTAATTGATTATAAGTCATTTCCTTGCCATTCTTTACATCTTATTCTAGGCCAGATATGTTGGTCTTTAAAGAAACTAAAATCACAAAAAGTATTAAATAATCCATTTTTGGAGCATTACCTTCTTCATAAAGGATTTAACTTTTTGAGTTCCTTTTGTGCCTTAAGTACAGCGGCAGGCACTTTACAAATGTTGTCTCATTAACCCTAACAACCCTAAGAATACAGTAGTGTTGTATCTACTCAATAAAGAAACTGAAATTCAAAAAAGGTGAATAACTGGGCCAAGATGGCTTAGCTAATAAGTGGCTGTGCCAAAAATCAATCCAAATCTATTAGATTCCAAGGCCAATGTTCTTTCCGTTATTCTTTCTAGTGATTATGTTCCCCATGGTTTCTTAAATATAAATCTTAAGCAAAACTATTATTTTTCCCTAATAAGAATATACAGGCCAATGAACGAGTCAAGTTTAGCTGCTTTCGGCTGCTATTGCATTAGTATAATTTGATCACACTAGTTTTCACATGTTAATCAGTTTTATATTCTTGATAAATAAAATTAAGAAAATTACATTAATACATATTTAAACAATAGATCCATTAAGGGTAATAAGGAAAGAAATACTTGGTAAAAAAAGGTTGGGAACGTCTCTCTCAGGCAGATGTACTACTCCAAATGCTAGGTGGAAAATGGCTCTATCAAAACATTGCTAGAGTGATGCACTTTTTCAGTTTTTCAACATATGTGACATCAACATACCTCTTGGCTTTCCTATTTAAAACAAAACAGAAAACACAGAAATTTACAATGCTTGTAGGCTTTATAAAATTCCTAAGATAAATCATACCAGAATTATCTAACCAACTTTTTTACTTTCTGTAAATTTTAAGGAGAAAAATGTTTAGCATCCTCATTAATGTGTATGTGTGTATATGATTTACTTTTGTACACAGAAATTAGAGGCCACAAAATATTATAAGTTTGATAAAATCACCCTTTATCCGAATCATTCCTAAACACTCAAAATATTACTTCCTCCACTATTTCTGTACCCTTATACCTTATTATCTATACTCTTTTATAGTACTATTATAAAATTTTCTGATATTATAGTTGCTTATAAACCTATTCTATCACTTTTGCTACTAAAACTAAGCCTAAAGCCATGTATAATTCATCTTTTTACTAGCCACTGTATCTTACACAATACCTGTCAAATAAATGAATCATTTCAATGTTCTTTCAACCGTATTACAACAGAGAATGCCATCTAATGATTCAAAAAGGAGCATCATATGAACTTTTTAAACACATGGATATTACTAAATTAGGTGAACATGTGACTAAAATAGAGTAGTAAAAATCTATACATACTTCATTTTTCCTTGATTGTAATGAATCATTTTCTCTACAAGATGAAGAGTCACTTAATAACCTAGAAGGAAAGGCAGGAAATAAATCCTTTGCAAGTCATTTTAATCCATTTTCTAATACCCCCAAATTATTATCAGAATTAAATTCCAGCCACGAAAATTTCTCTTTCTGATCACTTCAACATATTTTAAATGAAGCAACATTTTCCCATCTAGATATTTATCATTCTCAATAATTTAAAATGCTGCACTTTTTTTTGTCCCCCTCCCCATTATTGGATGTTCCAGTCTTTAATGTTGTTGAGACTGGAGTCACTACATGTGCTACATGTACATTTGCCCCTCTTCATCTCATTTTGAGTTCCTGTAACTATTTTATCTAGAAATCTTCTAGAAAGAGACATCTCTCCTCCTTCTCAAAGATTACATCTCTTGATTCCCAGGTCTTAATACATAAATCATCACTTCTACTTAACTGTCAATTTCTCTGTTTAACTGGGTCCTCTCCCACTGCCTATAAATATGCTTGGGTTTATCCAGGCACTCATATCCTCATTTTAGTGAGCATTACAATAGTTTTTAGAATACTATCGTTAGCAGGGTGGTCAACTCATCCTAGTTTGCTGGGGATTTTCTTAGTTTCAGCATTGAAGTCCCTTGCCATATCCTAGGAAGCCCCTCAGTACTGAGCAAACCAAAATGTTTGGTCACCCCTACCATTACATATATGGAAGTACCAAAAGTTTCTCAAACATATGTTTCTCAAATGTCTACAATGCCTCACTCCTCACTGCCTGTCAAAGTCAAAAGTCCCTCAGTATAGCACACAACAACCATCTGCTGCTTTTTTCTTCCTCTGAACTTCAACTCCAACATAATTTTTAATCTTTATACTCAATACTCACGGCAGTCAACCAGTATTTATTGGCCTTGTGCCAGACTCTATGCTACATGGAGGGATTACAGGCAAGAAACTCAAAGTCTCATTAGGTCCTCCAAATGAATATAATACAGTAATACTGTGTTTGAGCCCTACTGGACCACACTACTCTGCTCCCAATGTGTACTAACATGCCACACTTTTGCTTTCATTGTTCATCTCCCCACAACTCTCACTAACCTCCCTACATCTTGGCCACTCAAAACCTTTTCTTAGCTTCACAAATGCTTCCCCTCCCTGAGGTCTTACCTGACTTCTTACCTCACCCCCAGAGATGTGACTTTTATTTTTCTCCTGAACCATCTCAGATATTTTGGTACCTTTCTTAAGGCAAATATCACATTTCTATCCTTTACTATGACTATATTATTCTCTTATATCCCTTATTAGTTGATAAGCTCCTTCAAACATAGTCTTACTCTCTATCCCCCAAAGAATATAGAACAGTACCTTGCATACATCTGTACATGAATAACATTCAGAAATAATGGAACTAAATGAAAAATAACTTTCAATAGTCCTTTTTAAAAAACTCAAAAGTTTCAAACAAATTAACACTTTATCTTCTGTAATCCAGAATCTCATAATAAGATAACTCTTTACAGCTAAATCCTGAAAGCAATAAAAATCTAACAAACAAATCACATACAAATTTTCTCTATAGTAGGTAAATCCTATAAAAGGTAGCTGATTTCCCACAAAAGCTTTAGGAATCGGGAAGGTTTCTACATCTCCTTTATCATCTTCGATGTCATCAAAATTGCTGCTGTCGATGTCACTGCTGAGCTCAGGTACTACAGGAGCTGCCGCTGTTAAAAGAAAAGAAATAGATTATTTTCTTCATAATCAAAATATATATTAACCACCCAGATTTTGTTTTATATCAATTACATATTAGTAATATATATTAATGCCAATACATTATACATTAATAATATATATTCAATAACATTATGATTTACTATAGAAAATTTTGGTAACATGTTTTACATTCTATCATTTCAAAAAATTAAAATTTTACTAAGTATTTTATTACTACATTAGAGCAGGTTTAAGTACAGATAAATCAATTAAACAAGGAAAGCAATATGATATTATTCTAGGTATTAAAATTGCAAGCGGCAGTAACTTGCACACACATTCTTTAGTCTGTGGCTTTTTACATTCTTTAAGTAAAACATTTCTTACTCTTAAAATGGATTAATTGTCAAACACACATAAAGTTAAAATGAATTACTATGCTTATTCTAGTATTCACCAAAGTACAGTCTATATAAATAATTAATTACTGATTTATTAATTCAAACACATTCAAATTAAGGGCTATTTCCCCCATTCTGAAAATTTCTGAGATCCATAAAGAAACTTGACAAAATAAGAAATCTGTTTATTATAAAAGTATTAAGAAATATTTTTAATGAATACAAATTAGTTTAAGGTGTTGAGGAACATCTAGTTATAGATATTGCCACAGAACAAATTTGAAATGAAACCTCTCAATTTAAAATTAGTTAGCATTAAGTGTATCAAACATGATTACTAATTCAAAAGAGGAATCAATTTCTGAGATTTAAAATACGATGGAATGGAAATATTTAAATTTACTGACTTACTCTCTCTTATGTTATCCCAATTCCATTGATCATTCTTAAAGAAAGGATGCTGTTTGATTTCTTCTACCCCATTTCTCCCAAGTCGTACCTCCCTAAACAATGCAGTTAAAGATTGTATTATAAAAAGATTACAAAAAAATAAATTAATTCTTATCTTGCCTAGGATCAAAATAAGGATCACAAATGACTTTGAGGTATCTTTATTAAAAGTTTCGGCTTAAATGTTTTTCAAAAACAAGCAATGCCAATTTTACAATATATGATCTCTCTAGATTAAAAGGACTATAAAGTATAGTAAATGCCATGGAAAGGGAAATGTATTTCCATCTGTAGTTTGTATCAAACAAAAGTACACAAGAGACTTTCAAATAAAAATATTCATCTGTGTGTGCCAAAACTGCATGACCAACTCCAGGATGTAAAATGGACAGGTTTAACTTCAGACACAGAAGAGTTATTCGAAGCCTCTCTAATAAAAATGTAGCACAGAGTCTGCTTGAGATTCTCTCCTTCTCCTTCTGCCTCAGTCCTTCCCCCTTCCCGCTCATGTGTTCTAATAAATTTTTAAAAATCTTTAAAAAAATCAAAATTAAATCAAAATTAAAAAAAAAATCTCTTCTTAAAAAGAACTCACATATTGTTAGAAACTATCAATCTTTAGTCTCATAAATTATATCTCTACATTTATATTAAAATAATCATTCTGAATACAAGAAAAACAATATTAACAATTCCATTCTTTGACCCTTTCAGTTTTCAATGAAGATTTTATGGAAATAAAAAACATCTTTTTTTTTATATGCCCCTGGAGCCATGTTTAATATAAACAGAAAAACCTGTAAACTTTAGAGGGAAGTACTGCTAGCCACAATGATGGCATTATATTCTTTTCCAAATCTCTTTCTCTACCTGCAATCATTCCTTAGACTACACCACCTCCCCCCACCCCAATAAATTGCTAAGGCAAATCTTTCATTAACATGTGCTATGTCCTATTTTATATTTTATCTTTCAGCACAAATTATGGTCATCCTCATCAACCCATCTAGTCCCAAATCAAACATACAGGATTTGTTCTAAGTTTATCAGCATGGATTGTCTGTTAATCAGATAATTAACAAATCTTATAATTGATAAACATATTAAAATGATTAACCTCTCTAATGAGAAAAAAGAGCAGTAACTTTTCTTGCTTCAGATGGAAAAAATTCATGATATTCGGTTTGATGAGAATGAGGAAAGTATCATCAATGGAAATATACCCTGCTGTGACTATTCTGGGGGTCAATTTTGTAACACCAAATCAATTTTAAAGTGTGTATCCTAAAATTCCACCTTTAAAATTTTATCCTACAGAATGTATGCAAGATAAAAATGTATGAGGACTGTCACTGTAGTACTGCTTGTAACAGCAAATGGCTAACAAACAATATGGTTTGCTGAGAAAGCATAGCACTTTTGAGCTAGAAATGCCCTCAGTTATCAATCTGATCTGATCCCACTGTTTATGGATAAGTAAAATTTCCCCAAAAAGTAAAGTTATTTCCCTAAGATCATAATGCTGGTGAGTAAAGTTTGGACTATGGTGCATGCACTCCCCTATAAAGGTTGGTCCTTTGACAGGCTGACTCTTATCACAAATCCAAAAGAACTGAATAGAAAGGCCAAGGAAGAAACTCCAAAGAGTCTTCTATCTTCCCTTTTTGAGATAGGTTTCACAGCATTGTTCACCTACTTTGTTTTAAGAAACACAGAATTTCTAGGGCAGACTTACTCTTTTCAAACGCAAATAAAAAAGGGCTGGGAAGGAGGCGCTCCCAAGTCAAATACAAATAGTTTTTGAGATTATAACCTGTCAAGTATGTATCTGCACAAAACACTCTTCTCTCAAAAGTTGTACAGGAAGAGTCAGATGGCTTAATCACTTCAAAGGATAAAATGTGAATAATACAAGTTTTATTTCTCTCAAATGCATTATCTTACCAAGTTCTATTTTTTCTTTTTAGACATGAAGGTAAGGTTAGAGTTAGATTACAGTGGGGTTGCACATACATAATGATGAGAGTAACCCAATACCAGGCCTAACAGTAGGAAAAGGCTAACCCAGAATTAAAAGCAATTTGGATAAAGAGAATGACAGATTTCATATGTAAATAAAAGCTATGCTTTCATTTCTACAAACTTAAAAGTTAAGGGCTCTCTACAAAGAAATTCAACGTATATTACCTATCTGTTAAGAAGGCACAAATGAGATTCTTCGCATGTTTAGAAATTTCTGCATCTTCAGGGAAACAGAGTGAGTTTTTATGATCCATAATTTTGCTATATGTTCCTACAAGTGAATCTGCATAAAATGGAGTATCCCCTAAAATTCCAAGAAAGAAGACACTGAGTGTAACAGAGAATACAAATTAAAGACTTTTCATCTATTATTTAAATATGTTAAGTTTAAATTCGTCACATGCATGGAAGAATAACTGATCTATGTGTCTCAGTCGAAACACACCAGCACATACCAAGGACATATTTAAATTTGAACCACACCAATGTACCATCAACTCTTAAAAGCAAAATAAAATCAATGCTGACTCTAGAATTTGTTACTGTTTTTACAATGGGGAAGATTACTAAGTAGGGTCAGATCGATCAGAGTCCTCTAATGCTTGAGCTGGATCAGTCTTTTTTGAGATTACTCTCTAGAGCTGTGTTATACAATACCGTAGCCACTAGCCACATTTAAGTTCAATTAAAATTTAAAGTTTAATTAAATTTAAATCTAAATTAATTAAAATTAAATAAAATAAAAATTTCAGTTCCCTAGTCACACTAGCCACATTTCAAGAGCTCAATGTGGCCAGTGCTCACCATACTGGACTGTGCAGACATAAACCATTTTCATCATGATAAACTGGACAGTGCAGCTCTAAGAGTTAGACCAGCCCTATTATTTCACATGCAAAGATTTGCTTAAGATGACCCATAGCTAGAATTGAAAATGGCAGAAATGGTCTCCCAATGCAGTGTTCTTGCAGACTAACGGTTATGCTAAAGAGGCACTGGAGTGTAAAGACAGAAAAAGTTGAAGGCACCATTTTGGCCAGTACTCATCGAAAGCCACAAGAACTAAAGGCCCTGCCAGTATGACTCAACTATAAGTCACCTTAGTACAAACCAGACTTTCCCAAATCAGACAATCCAAAATTTCAAAAGGGGGTATTCAGGTAGTTTTTGTTTTCAAAGAGGGCAAAGGGGTGCTTTGAACTCAAGATTTTTCTAGTGCCATTTTTAATTACAGTAGAGTCCTTTAAATGAAGTCCAGTGCTAACCAACCTAGGCAAGCACCTGAGTAAGCTCAGAATACTGTAAATCAGTGTCATTCAAAGTCATTAAATTCAACTCATGGGTTGAAAACAGTAGCAGGTATTTAAATGGTCCCTTCACAGGAGCTATGTGACTTTCTCCAAACTGTTATTTTCTAAATCCCTAGGAGAGTCTAGGCAAATGATAGAATAATTCCACTTTAAAAAGAATACAAGATGCACCTAATGTATCATCAGATTGGGCCAGAGGTGGGGAGAATGGACAGCTACCTGGGAACATACCCTGCATGTAAAGAGATGCACTACAAAAACAAAGGCCCTAAACAACTTAGGTCATACTATGACATGAGTTTAAAGCATAGCAAGATCAATACTACATACACAAAATGGTCATCAAGAGAAGGCAATTTATGCCACAAAAACATTCCATGATTATTATTTAAATTTGAGATTTGCCAAAATGTTCTGATTTTTTTAAGCAATAATCATAATAATCATACAGATTTTACAGATTTTCCACCACTAATTTTTTTTAGGGTCATCCTCTAGAAAATAAATTCTCCAATTTCTAAAAATATTTTTTCAACTTTAAAGTTGTTTCATATAATGTTATTAGCCTTATCACACTTGCCTCAGAAAATAGATTTAGCTGTATCTGCCCTCATCCCCAAGCCAGATGATTCAGTCATTGGCTTCCTTAGCCAGAAGATATTTTTGTGACCCCAGTACTTAGGAATGGGAAATCTTAAGAATGAAATCTATGATATAAAGAAAAGTTTTGAAACACCGGAGCCTTTCAAATTTTGACTTGGTCAAAGTGAAAGAAATTATTAGATTTGCCTCTGAGTTTTCTGAGAATGAAATATTATAAAATATTTTTATCGATAATCAAATGGTCAATAACTATGATTTACTTTACTAGAATTAAAACCATATGTAAATATAAATAATAAACAGAAGAAACATAGTCGACAAAAATCAATTACGTAATTATGTAAACAAACTAAAGAATACTTGAGTTCTCTATTATTGGGACAAATATTAACAGCCTTATTCTTAAAATATTCACAACAAATACTACTGATCAAGAAAATCTTAGACTAGAGGCCCACGGCAGCTGTAAACTTGTTTCTTGTTCTAACATTTTCTTCACACAAAAAGGCCCACTGAAGGATTATTTCCTAGAAATATACTGTTGATTCTTTTTACATTCCACTAAATCACTGTGCCAGTACAATTTGGTTTTAATTTTCCAATTAATAATCTGTCATATCTGATACAACTGATTTAAAGTTTTTAAAAATCCCACTTCTTCCACAGGACATAATTAATTTCCTTAGATTTTCAAATTCTTGACTTAAAACTAGTGTTATGAGATTGGTTTTGAAAAAAAGACAAGTTAAAATATTTACTTACCCACCAGCATCTCAAAAAGGAAAACACCCACAGACCACCAATCACATTCTCGCCCATAGTAACCATCACCCCCTTGTGATTTGAGAACCTCAGGTGAAATATAATCAGGTGTTCCAACTGCCGTATCACAATGCACCATGCCTGTCTGGTAGAGAGCAGAGATAAAGAAAAACAGTTGCATGTAAAAACATACACACAGAAATGCAACTAATTCATTTATTACTACATATATATATAGTGGCTACAAATTGCTACCCAACAGAACTTCATTGCTGATACAGCTTTGGGAGGACAGGAAATAAGAGTATTATGAAATGCCTACAAGTGTCCAGATTACAGGAAATCAAGGATAACTTTTCAACTCTAAAATACAGGAGGCTCCATCAATGCAAGAAGGAAAAAGTGGTAAACTCCATGGGAATCCCAAGCAAATCAACATCTTTTGTTTCTCTTTCTTACACTACTAAGTAGTTACAAGGGAAGTACAAAATGTGATCTTAAGGCAGTGACCTGGGGAAAAGAATGAGAGAGAAAGGAAACTTTGGTGTTTTCAAAAGAAACTGCAATAATTAAGATTACAAAGAGCCTAGTTTGGAGGCTGGATAAAGAAACAGTTCTTAATGTATTAAGAAAAAATGGAGGAAATCAAATGTTTAAATTAAAAGATCTTAACAACTTGAAAGCTACACCACCAAGCTGCGTATTTAGAAATATGGAGCTGTGGCATCAAGATATTTGGCAAAATGATAAAAAACACCTTTATCTGTCTTTAGTTTCGGTGGGTAATAAGACAATCTCTATCTGATGTCTTTCTGACAAGGACAAGAACCATTGTAAATATATGTATGCATGTGTGTTTTGTAGCATGTATGTGTGTGTGTGCTGTAAAATTAAATCACCATAACAGTATAATGCTAAATAATATTCGTTCACCTCCAGCTCTATGCAAACTTGCAAAGTCTATAGGTTAATTTAAATGCCCTCCATTTCCTTTACCTGCCAGGTAAAGAGTATGTCATCCACATTCCTCATAAGGAAGCTAATATAAATTCCCAAAATACTAAGTATTATGAACACCTTGGAAAAAGGAAGTTCCATGTATTTTGTAAATATGATTTATGTAAACGTATTTAAGTGCAATAAAATATATGTTAATCATGGGAAATTAATTTTGAAAACAATCTTTTCATTCTTCAAATTAGCAACAATAACTCAATGATTTTACTTTCCCAAGTTTATAGCAAATAGAGAATAGAAGTCATTTTAGTTTGAATATAAATTAATAAAAGTTCTGAATATAATTGAGCAAATTACGAGGGCAATAATTTGTATGGATTAGTACTTAGGATAAAAGATGAAAAACAACAGTGCCTAACTTTAAAAGGCAGGGTATATTTTTATCATGGACTCTCTATACTGCTGTTAGAGGAAACATTAAGAGACTTGTTAGAGTAAACAAAACTCATTTCACATGTATCCACAGAAATTAGACTTTAAAAAAATGAATCCTGTGAGACTCAACAGCTAAAACCTAACTGGACACACACACCAAAAAAATGCCATTAGAAGAAAAATTATTTAGCATTCAAAGGTTTAGAGGGAGAGGAAAGGATAAGATAAAAAAATAACTGGCATAAAGTTAGGCTGTAAAGGATGGGACAAGTTAGGCTTTAAGAGGGAGAAAGAGGTATGACAGTTTAGAAAGAAAAAAAAGCAAAAATAAAGGAACAAGAATGACTTTATATAAAGCATATTCAGGAAATGCAGTGAAGGGGCACCTGGGTGGCTCAGTCAGTTAAGCCTCTTACTCTTGATTTTGGCTCAGGTCATGGTCTCGGGTTCCTGAGATTGAGCCCTGTGTGGGTTCCACACTCAGCACAGAGTCTGCCTGGGATTCTCTCTCTCTCTGCCCCTCCCCCTGCTCATGCTCTCTCTCTAAATAAATAAATAAAATCTAAGAAGAAAGAAAGAGAAAGAAAAGAAAGGCAGTAAAGTCCAAATCAGCTAAAAGTAAAGTTTCACAATGATGAAGGTGGGAAAGGTAAGATGGAGATCAATTTGAATAACCACTTGCAGAATAAATACTTTGGCAGGACTAAAGAATTTTTAGTAGGTAAACTATGTGAACAACACTCTGCTTTTGGGAAAATAAATATTTCAACCACAATTTTTGACTAGCATACTGGAGGTTAAAATTTTTTTAAATAAACATTTGGAAAAGACATTTTAAAACTGTCTCATGGAGAAGTTCTCAAATTACATGAATACATAATCTACATTTATGACAAGTCTCTTCTCCTATTCTAAAGAAATACAGAAAGAATAAACCAGAAACTAAAAAGACCTGGTTTACCCACGGCGGGTGTGGGTGGGAAAAGGGTGGAAAGAAGGGAGTATGGGAATGGGGTAGCAGGAGTAGGGAGGACAGGATCCTTCTCTGAGCATACAATTTGTACAGTTTTAACCCTTAAAGCCAGAGGAATGCTTCACACATCATAAAGACTGTAAATAAGCAATTAAAATCAACCAGGATGTGGCGGGGGGAGGGGGGATACTCCAAATGGAATACAAACAGTAAGAAATGAACCTGTTTTATAAATTAGTAACAAAACCACACCAAATGGGGTAGGGATGAAAAAAACTAACCTAAATAACTTTGGAAAACAGTATCTATAACAGATAATATAAGGCTAACCTCAAAAGGAACTGCACAAAAATAATACATTCTAATTAGTAAATCTGTTTGTCACAAAGGTAGGAATTAGTAATTCTGAAATAATTTTATGTGTCTCCTAGAGCTGAACAAGTAAATATACTGTAGATAATGAGAGCCAGGTTTCTTTCTTTTTTTTTCCTAAGATTTTATTTATTTACTGGAGAGAGAGCAAAAGCAGGAGCAGTGGCAGGGGGAGAGGGAGAAACAGGCTCCCCACTGAGCAGGGAGCCCTACGCAGGGCTAGATCCAGAGCCGAAGGGGATCATGACCTGAGCCGAAGGCAGATCCTTAACTGACTGAGCCACCCACGTGCCCCAAAAGAGCCAGATTTCTCAGTGACCAAAGTAGAAATTATAAAAAAGAAAGGAAGAAGACTACAATGAGCCCTGTAGTGTAGGAAAAGATTCAGAAGTATCAGTATGAACTCATGATTTTTAGTAGCCTAGATATACGGATAGATAAGTACAGATTTAAATATGAACATGTGTGTGCATATGGATTAGCACATATAGTATATTCAGTCTACATGTCTCTGCTGACAAGGCCTAGAAATAATGGCACTCGAGGAGGAATAAACGTATCTAGTGCCCAAATACTGATTTCTAAATACCATTCTTAAATAAAAGAAATCTGAGCTTTCTGGAAAAGTGGCTGATTCCAGAGCTGGGACAGAGAAAATACAAGTCTTTCTTGTATTATATAGTGCCAAAAAATAAGAAAATGCTCCAAAAGGGGGGCATGGCTAAGACATAGGAGTCAACCTAAGGAACTAAATAAGCAAATTTTGAACTGAGTTTCAATGTATGAGTAGGAATCTGCCAAGTAAGCTGTATGCAACATCATATATGAAGGCCAGGAATCATTAAATCATTGATTTCATGGCATAAAAACAACGGTATGTAATTTAAGACCAGTAAACTATAAGGCACAAAAGATCAAACGATAGAGAATGAGGGTGAAACGTGGAAGGGATATCATAAGAAGCTTCATATAGCTAAGGAGTTTGAACTTTACTCAGTAGATGACAGGAATCTACAGAATGGTTTTAAGCAGGAGAGCAACATAAACAGGTATGCATTTTCAAAAGCTTCCTCATGAGTACTTAAAATGGGTAAGATTACATGTTTATTTGCTAAAATATAGCTGGTGTTTTATAATGGATAAAATATCATAATTGGAGAGATTCACTGAAAACACAAAACTGGTCAGTCATAAATCCTGAGGTTGGCCAAAGAAATTATTCTAAATGCTTCCTGTGAAAAGTGGAAAAAAATTGTAAATGGAATTCTTAATTATCAGAAAAGCATTAAGAGCCTTAGCTTGACTGCTACACAGGCAGGAGCCTACTTGGTCCATTTTAATGATTAAAAATGAGTACTTGCAGGGGCGCCTGGGTGGCTCAGTCGGTTAGGCGACTGCCTTCGGCTCAGGTCATGATCCCAGGGTCCTGGGATCGAGTCCCACATCGGGCTCCCTGCTCAGTGGGGAGCCTGCTTCTCCCTCTCCCACTCCCTCTGCTTGTGTTCCCTCTCTCGCTGTGTCTCTGTCAAATAAATAAATAAATAAAATCTTTAAAAAAAAAAAATGAGTACTTGCAGCAGGGATATGCCTTTCTCAAACAGGCATATCCCTCACCTTATAAAATTCTCGGCTAGTGCAAAGTCCTGCTTCTTCTTTGTTCTATCTAAAAAACAGCCCAAGTGGTTTAGAAGCCCATGTCCATTTGCACTGTGCAGTGCCCAAGGCACAAAAGGCTGCCTGTTATTCTAGTTATCTCCTGGGGGTACCAATTATTAACTTTTATTAGGACTCTGGTTACAAAGTTGCATAGCTTTTGAATGGTCTGTCCCTACTACTCCCATAAACCTATTCACTTCTATGTATAATTTTGCAGAAAATAGGGTTTTTTCAGAAACACAAATAGAAATACCTCCATTTTAAAAACTGATGTCATTTGTAGAAGGGTTAAGAACATTAACAATTTACTGATTAGCTTTTAAAGAAGTATAGCCTCATTTAATCAAATAGTACACACTAGAATATTAAGGGATATAATTTTATATTATTTTCAGGTAACCTAAAACACTAACATAAAATATGCCATAAAGGTGGTAAAGGTGGCTATGAAATGCATAATGACAAGCAAAGAGGGAACTCCATTTACCTAACTAAACAAGCAATTTTAAATAACAGTACTTCTTGGCTATCAACCGAGACACATCTAGACGTAAATATACTACACTGCGACATTCACTCACATCTACATATTTTTTTCAGAGAGAAAAAAGAGTAACAGTATCCAGGAAACTGTGTAAACCACAATTTATTAATGAGAGAACTTACTGACATATGCCAATACTCTTAATTGCAATAGTAACCAATTATTTTAGTCTTTGTAGGTTATAATATTTACTTGTATTTTATTTTTGCATTTATCCATGGCCAGAGGAGCTAAAAAATAATTTGCGAATCTCTGTCTATATTGTAGATAAAGGGTTGGCAAAGTTTTCTGTAAAAGGCCAGTAAATATTTTAGGATTTGTGGGCACACCAGGATCTCTACCTCATATCTTCTTTTGTTTTTTAACCATCTTTTAAAAACAGACAAACCATTTTTAGTAAAGGAGCTGTACAAAACCAAGCCACAGGCCAGATCTGCCTTGTACTCCAGTTTGCCAATCCCTTCTATAGACGTGCAGATGAATGAGAACGAAACTAGGAACATTTCTAACGGCTTTGAGACCATAATGATAATCAAACAGAGGCCAATAATGAACCTGAAACTTGCAATAACATTTATTCATATTAACAGCTAACATAACAAAATTATAAATTCTATGTACGATAGCTTTTAATAAAAAACTCCTTTATTCTTCAACATATATAGTTGTTCTCATCATTAGTATTACTTGAGGAATGGAGTTCTGGGGTACAACAAACAACATTTTTAAACTTCAGTGTTTAAAAAATATATATTTCACTACATAAAAATTAAGAATTCCTGTTCAAACAGACACAAATGTGTAGCTGACTGGAAGATGAAATGAGCAATATCTGTGGAATCACTACTAAGATTATATAAGGAATTCCTGAACATCAACAAGAAGTTGATTTTAAAAAGGTTAAAAGATAACACAAGTAATTCATGAGATAAATGACAATTATACGAAGAAAAGTTTGACATCATTAGTTATAAAATAAATACAATTTTTAAAACTTACTACCTTACACCAATGGAATTGGTAAGATTTAGAGAGTGAGTAATAGGAAGAGTGAGTAAGAATACAGAGAGACATGATCTCTAATGCACCACTAGCAAGAGGTTATAACATTTACAGCCATTCTGGAGGTCAGGTAATACTTTATTTATGTATCCTCTGAGTCAGTAGTCCCACTTCTTCTAAGTGTATATATAGAGGAAAACCTTGTCAGAATACACATGGGACATGTCTGAAGATGTCCAACATCAATGCTTAGGTTCAACATAGTCCTGTTAGTAGGAGGGAGCTGATGTGGCCTAGGAATCCAACACAAGTGGGAATAAGTAAAATTAATAGACAGATACTATGGAACACTAAGAAGGAATGAGCTAATTTACATATATCAGAATAGATATAAAACAAGATTGAGTGAAAAAAAGTAAAAAAAAAAATGACATCCATACCATTATACACTTATACACATGTACACTGTATTAACAGTCTGCAAGAGCTTATAGTAAACACATGACAGTGGCTATTTGTTAGGGACAGAGAGAATAAGACTGAAATGGAAAGGGGGAAAACATCATAAAACAAAAACCAGATGAAGCCTTTCTGTTGACTCCTAATGACAGTAAGCGATGAACCAAAGAGTATAATTAGCTCAGCTATATGTACCTGAATTAAAAAATAGTAAATAAAATTATATAAGTCACATTTTATTTTGCCTTTTAAAGAGACAATGTAAGAGATTTAAACTGCTAAATTTAGTATTTACTTACATGCTCATATTCTATAAAAACCATATTCTGTCCTGTTCCCCACACTCTATACCCTTTTTTCCTAAACCATCATTTCCTACCCTAAAAATATGTGGTGTGACTTATATCTCTATACCCTCCCAAAAGTTTTGGTTTAATTAAAATCAGAATACACCCATGGAAGCACAGCACATAAACATCACTCATTATGTAGAACAGACATAAAAAAGTTTAGCATTCCATTAGAAAATTATCTTATACTTTATTTTCATTAAAGATAATTTTTACTATTAACCATTTCACACTGTATTATGATAAACACCACAAGAGGGAGCTTTGGGGACAAATGTTCCCTCTACTAAACACTGATGTATGCAAAAGATGGACACAGTGATATACATAATCTATGAAGAAGACCAAAGAAGAAAGGAATGTTAAGTTTTAGTTGAGTAGACAGGGCATACAAACCTAGATACATGAAAATGGCCTATGAAATACAGCACAAATTCTAAATAAATCAGAACATTAGAAGACTGATCAGTCAGATTAGGATTATCAGGAAGAACTTTGTAAATGAGGTAAAATCTGAGCTGAGCCTGGAAGAATACAGAATGCTGATGAAGGTAGTATGATCTATAAAAGTGAATGTCACATAGGTGGCATGAATAAGAGGTAAACAGAAAAGAAAATCAGCTTAATTAAAAATAAACATCTTGATAAGATATTTTTGTTAAGAAATACGATTAGCTATATAAGCATACTGGAAGGTTATAAAAACCATACAAAAGATAGTATCTAGTTTGTTGTCAACACACACTAACATTAAAGAGTCTGATACATATAAATCACCCCTAGATCCAACAGAGAAATACAAGCAAACAAAAAAAACAAAAAACAACAACAAAAAACCCATGATTCCTCCCCATTAGGAACTACTGCCAGGAATTATATATATACTTGAAAGAGAAAAAGAGAAGAGATATAAATTTTGCAACAAAAATAAATCAACATCATAATTAGCTATCAGGTTAAAACTACTGAATCTATTAATTATAATGTGAATTGTTCAACAGGTAAAGTACACAATAGATGATGTTCCTAAATTTATTCGATATGATTGATGCAGACAGGGTTGGTAGGAGACAGTAACATAAACTTCTTACCTTAGCTTTTTTCTTTTTAAAGGAAAAATACAGAAATAATAATGGTGATGGAAATAATACCCATGTACCTTAATGTATATTTTGTGTCCTATTCTTCACCTGGATCATTTTGCACATGAACTAGTTTTAATTGCTTGCCACCATTCTATGGGGAGATACCTAAGTTATCTGTACTTTTATTTCTCTTGTATTTACCAAATCTAGTACTATATAGGAAATAAAGCACTCTGTAGCTAGATGAATGATCAGTAAAAAAAAAAAGTTTTATTTTAAGTCACTACACAGCAAAACTAAATTTATCTTTGTTTAAAACTATAAAGTCAAGATTTGAAGCTTCATTTTTGTTTTTAAAAAACTAGCTTTTTTTTTTACTTGCTTATTACTTACTTCATCCATCTTCATACATGTGCCAAAATCTGCCAACTTTAGATGTCCATGTTTATCCAAGAGCATGTTGTCAGGTTTTACATCTCTGTGAATTAAGCCCATGGAGTGTATGGCATCCAGAGCAAGAACAACTTCAGCAGTATAAAATTTGGCCCATTTTTCAGGTACATCATAGTTACTCATAAGGTTTACAAGATCTCCACCAGGCATGTACTCCATTACCATGTAGAGATACTTATCATCTTGAAAAGCACAAAAGAGCTGTAAAACAAAACGAGAAAGGAAAAAAAAAAATTTTAAGGAAAAAAAAAAAACCCAAAGCTTAAATGGAACAAAACCCAAAACAATTATTACTACTGAAAAAGACAAATTATTTTACAACCAAAAGAGTTGAATTTTATGAAACCTTTGATTTTAGATTTGGACATCCCTAATGGAAAAACAGGTATCAGACAAAGCTTTTTATATAGTTAACTTCTTCATGCTGAAAAATAACATAAATGAATCATTTTCCCTCTTAGAGAATATAAGAATCTATTTAAATAGAGATATTTTAAAAGAGAAACAGAAGGAGGGACATAAAAGGTGAAAGAATGACAGAAGAATTCATAATTTTAAAAAACAGCTTTCTGAAAACAAAACAAGCTACTGCACCTAACTCACAAAAAAGAAAGCTGAGGGGGTAGGAGCAGTTGAGAAAAACCTAAAAGATACCATATTCAATAGATATGAGAAGAGGGAGTAAGCACCACACCAGTGGAAAAGAGTGAGTTGCGGGCAGCCACACTTAGAATAGGGCCTTCTCCTCTCTCCTATCCCCCATCATCTTGCTCATAAGCAGCTAGTGGCGCGCAGATTAGAGCAGCGGCATTGGGACCAGAGAAATCACACCAAGCGAGGTTGCTACTGACTCCCCAGAGGCATGGGAACCACAAATTCAGAAGAAAAGTTATTTGTACAGTCTACCCAACATGTCCCAACCCACCCCCCAGAAGCAAGCAATGCAAACAGAAAAGGTTTCCACAAACAAATAGGGAAAACATAGAACAAAACCAAGAACTCATACTCAGAATAAATAAAAAGAATTCCTACAAATCAATTCTTTTAAATCAACAGACAACCTAATAGGAAAATGAAGAAGAATTAAGCAGGCATTTCACAAAGGAAGATATTCAAAGATGAAAAGGTATGAAATCTCATTAGAGAAAGATGAATTTAAACCTCTGTGAGACACCACTTTGCATGCACAAAAATGACCAAAAATGACCAAAAATTTTAAAACTGATAATACCAAGTGCTGGCAGGGACAAAGGAAACTTACAAACTAAACTTCTATAACCACATTGAAAAACAAGCTGTCACCACCTACTGAGATTGATTATAAGTACCCAAAAATGCTACTCCTAAGAGTAAACCCAACAGAATAAAAAACATTTACACTACTTGTAACAAATAAAAATTTTGAAATATACCAACAAATTGTGGTATATACATGCAATGGAATAAAACAGCAATGAAACTAATAAGCTGTAGCAATGTAAGTAACTCATGCCAACATAATGTTGAACAAAAAAGCTAGAGACAAAAGAAGAGATATTGAATCAGTGATATCACTTATATAAAATTCAATAAACAGGAAAGCTATAGTTCCTGAATGCTTGGTTAGATGGTACACTAGAAAGAAAAGCAAGAAAATGATTACTAATAAAGTCAGAGGAGTGGTTAATTTGGGAGGAACACATGGAGGCAGTGATTGGGAAAGAGCACAAGAGAACTTCTGAAGTCTGACAATGTTTATTTTTTGACCTGGGAAGTAAATACATGGGTGTTTGCTTTGTAATAAATCTTTCTGCTGCTTGTTTTATGTATTTCTCTGTGTATGTCACAAATAAAATCATTTTTTTAAAAAAATGTATGATAAAATTTTAAAAAACCATGATAAAATTAAAGCAGAACTCAACAGGAAATTTATAACTTCAAATGCATTTGTAGGTATCTCTCCTTAACCTTTCACTACCCAATATTCAAACAGATATCTGCACTGGAAAAAAATGACTGACAATAAAAATTAGTCAGATAAAGAAACTAGAAAAGAAAAATATAAACCCAAAGAAAACAGGAGATAGGGAATTTTTTTAAAAGCAGAAAATAATTAAAAAGAAAAGCAAAAAAAAAAGGTATTATTTTTAAATAAAACAACAAAAAAAATGTTAACTAAAAAATTTACATATACTCCATTCAATAGAAAAGTCAAAGAGAAGACAGATACGGTTGCAGAAAATAGAAACTGACTCGAGAGAAAAACCTGAATTAGTCAAAAATCACGTGAGAAAATAAGAGGTTGACAGAAGATTTAATTGGGAAGGAGGAACGGAGGGACTGAGTACAGAAAAAACATATACGACTTTTAGGACAGCAGCTATCTCTCAGAAGGAAAAAAGGGAGAAAAGACTGGGAAGGAGAACAAAAAGTATTTCAAGAATTCTTGCAATGTTTTCAAAATTAAAAGCTTAAAATTAACGATGGAAAAATGTTAAAATTTGCTAAATGTATGTAAGACTGAAACCAAAGAACGTTTCCAGATGGCTTATTTATTAGGCAACCAAGAAAAGCCATTCACCAATGGTGAATTAATTAAGTTGTGTTTGATTGCATCAGCTGAAGAAATGCGTCTAGAGAAAATCAACGCAAGACTCTCAGTCTTTCAACGACAGCTGCTCAAAGAGTTGAGGACACTGCTGGCAATATCAGTAGTCAATTTAAAAACAAAGCAAATGATTTCGAGTGGTTTTCCTCGGCTCTTAATGAGTCAACAGATGTTACTGGTATTATGCAGTCATTACTGGTTTCTGGAGGAGTAAGTGCCAAGTTTGATGTGAGTAAAAAATAAGCCTCTATAAAACAGTCTGCACAGATGAACTACAGGCAAAAATATTTTCAAAGAAGTTGAGAAAACACTAATTCAGTACAACCTGAAGTAGAATCTGGTAAGGTGTTTTAACAAAAGATGGGGGTAAAAATACATGTGGAACAGAAGAAGGCTTCATTGGACAAATTTAAAAAGCTTGTGAAAATGTGTGATATTTAAAATCTATAGTTATTCTCTGTAATACTAATCAATAAGTACTCAGTGGAAAATATATTTGAATCCCTTGTATAATAAATAAATGAGTAGTATTAATGGTTGTTATTTGCTCTGGTGGACTTAACCATCATCATCTGTTCTGTGAATTTTTGTCAGAAATAGATGCTGAATATCCTCACGCTACCATACAGCAGTTCAATGGCTTAGCACTGGTAAAGTTTTATTGCAATTATTTGAGCTTAGAGCTGAGACCGAAATTTGTCTGATCAAGACCACCCTCAACTACTATTATGGAACACTCAATAGCTTTCTAAATTAGCTTTAGCTGCAGACTTGATAACGTTTCTTAATTAATACAACCTAAAATGACAACGTAAAATAGCGCTTTTTAAAAAGATTTTATTTATTTATTTTTAGAGAGTGCACACAAGAGAGAGCATGCACAGGGGAAACGGGAGAGGGAGAGAGAAGCCCAAGTAGACTCCCTGCTGAGCTTGGAGCCAGAGGCGGGGCTCGATCCACCATCCTGAGATCATGACCCCAGCCAAAATCTAGAGTCAGATGCTTAACCAACTGAGCCACCAAGGTGCCCCACAGAACTTAAGCTTTTAATAACAACTAACATCAAGCTACTTTTTATGCTTCCCATGCTATTAAAATCAAAACAAGAAGTGAGATCTCCACTCCTACACAAACTGGCAATGGATGTATTTTCTGAGCTCAAATGACAGTCCCACAGTTCCAACAGCATTTTTTTGACCTGAATATAAGTGCAAAGCAAATATCCATGTTTCAAAATCCATTTAAACTCTGCAACTGAGGGGCACCTGGGTGGCTCAGTCGGTTAAGTGTCTGCCTTTGGCTCAGGTCATGATCCCAGGGTCCTGGGATCGAGCCCCACATCAGGCTCCCTGCTCAGCAGAGAGCCTGCTTCTCTTCCTCCCTCTGCTGCTACTCTTGCTTGTGCTCTCTCTCTCAAATAAATAAAATCATTTAAATAAATAAACAAACTCTGCAATTGAGAAGCTTCTGCCTAACCTTCAGTTGGAAGTGACCAACCTGCAATGTAATGACTTTTCTAAAAGGTAAATATCAAGACAAGAATTTAACAGAATTCTATATATGTCTTCCAAGTGATAAATATGCTTAATCAGAATCATATGCTCAAGGTCAACATCAACAGTTATAGATAAAGTACTGGTTTATACCCTGGATACATGATGAAAATGGCATTTTCCCTCTATAGTCTTTCTCTAAAAACTCATAACCCTAGTCTAAATAATGAGAAAAACATCAGACAAATTCTAATAGAAGACTATACACATCCTAAATATAACTGACAAGTAATCCTTAAAGCTGTAAAGGTCATTAAAAACAAGAAAAAGTCTGAGAAACTGCCATAGCCAAGAAGAGCCTAAGAAGATAGGATAACTAAATGTAACTATACTATCCTGGATGGAATCCTAGACCAGAAAAAGAGCATTAGGTAAAAACCAAGAAAATCTGAATAAATTATAGACTTCAGTTAATATAATGTATCAATATTGGTTCATTCATTATAACAAATGTACCTTACTAAAGTAAGATGTTAACAGAGGAAGACTGTCCGGGGTTGGGGCTCTCTAATTATCTGCTCAATTTTTCTATAAATGTAAAACTGTTTATTTTTTCTTAAAGATTTTATTTATTTATTTGACAGAGAGAGACACAGCAAGAGAGGGAACACAAGTAGGGGGAGTGGGAGAAGCAGGCTTCCCGCGGAACAGGGAGCCTGATGTGGGGCTCAATCCCAGGACCCTGGGATCATGACCTGAGCCGAAGGCAGACACTTAACGACTGAGCCACCCAGGCACCCCAAATGTAAAACTGTTTAAAAAATAGTCTATTAATAAAAGATAAATCAGATGCCGGTGGATAATAGTATTTGGCAGTACCTAACCTATGTGAAAAGATTATTCTCTAATAAGATCAATACGTAAAAAAATCTTATTACACATTAACATTAACAGAACATCTACAATTTTGACAGGAAACACTAATTGTTAACAAAATGTTATTGCCCCAGAAAATAAGTTAATTATTCTCCTTAACAGACTTGTATTTTTAAAAATTATACTTATCACATTTTGAATTTCATCAATAAAAAATTTATAGAAATTTGTTTTCTTGCTATATA